CCCCCGGCTTACCCCATAGTAAGTGCTCTTTCCTGCTTACACCATCAGTCTCAGCGTCTGGGTTTCTCCTCCAGAAATTATGGTCACATCAAGATGGCCCCGTACACCATATAATTCAAAGCTCTTACTCAGTGCCGACGGTGCTGAGCTGTCACGTGTTGTCTCCTCTGATGCTCACAGTATCCTGTGAGCCAGAAGGATTATTATTGTCCACACTGACCCACCCACCCATCATCCTTCTACTCCTTCTCTCGCTTACTTTGATCCATCTGTCATTCCACTCGCCCAATAGCCCACCACACATTCATCCCCCCCACCCCCATAAAACTAACGTGTATCCATTCATCATGCATGCATTTAACCCTGTGAACCAACTCTCTTCCTTCATCTCTTCCTTCCTTTCTTTCTATAGATGGGGGTGGGGGTAGGGGTGGAAACGAGCTTCAGAGAGGTTAAGCAACCTGCCCAATGTCACACAGCTAGTCAGCAGTCGATTCCGCTGAGCAAGGTACACTTTTTAACTGTGCTGCTATGTAGCCTCTGGCTTTCTCACTTTATTATTTATTTATTTATTTATTTTTAAATGAGACTGCCATTGACCTTTAAGCATTTATTTATTTATTTTAATATATTTTATTGATTTTTTACAGAGAGGAAGAGAGAGGGATAGAGAGTTAGAAACATCAATGAGAGAGAATCATCGTTCAGCTGCCTCTTGCACACCCCCTACTGGGGATGTGCCTGCAACCAAGGTACATGCCCTTGACCGGAATCGAACCTGGGACCCTTCAGTTCGCAGGCTGATGCTCTATCCATTGAGCCAAACCGGTTTCGGCTCTCACTTTATTTTTAACTGTCCTGTCGCATGCAGGTTTAATATGATAAGTCACCTCAAATCCTCTTGGATGCGTGTGGGTGTAAATTACACATCAATGAGTTGCAGGCCACGATAAGTCCGAGCCGGGGTCTGCCAGGTTGGAGTCAATTAGCAAGCCTGCTGCAGGACCTGCTGGGACTGGATTACTTGCCTAATTGGCATTGGTTTCTCCCAGGGAAGGACAATTAACTCAAATCCCAGAGTCCAGACCACCCCTCTGCTTCTGGGCAAGATGTCAGGCATTTAGCCACATGAGACTTTACTGTGCATTCATTCACCGCTGACTCACAGACCCACTTATCCATCTATCTTTCTAATTATCCAATCCTTGCAATCATCCATAAACTATCCGGCCATCTACTCACACATCCTATTTACCCACCTGGATATTTAGCTACTCACTTATCCTCCCATCCACCCATCTGTTCACTTACCCAACAGTCCACCCACCCATCCATCTATCTACCCATACATCCACTGACCTACCCAACCCAAGAAACTCTTTATGTAGTTGTTCTGCCTTCTTGTCATGCACTCACCCATTTGCTCACCAACCCACCCAGCCACCTCTCTATCCATCTACCCTATCATTTACCCGATCCATCAGTCATTCCGCTCACCCAATAATGCACCACCCATTTGCCATCTTATACATCTAGCATCCCACTTTGGTATCCATCCACCCAAGCACTCACCCACTGGAACAACCTCCCTCTCCTTTTTTCCTTCCTTCTTTCCTTCCTTCCTTCCTTCCTTCCATTTTCCCACCCATTTGACCATTCATTTATACCAGTCACTTATATATCTAAAAACGTGGTACCTAACCATTTAACTCCTCCCATCTAGTCAGTCTGCGTTTACTGAACACCTACTATGCACCAGGTCCACGGTAGGTACCAGAGAATCAAAAATAGACATTGTCATTGGCAGAAAAAAAAAAAAGGTGCTGATTTGGGGATTTGGGGTCAAACTCGAAACCCTTCATGGTTCCCACCCCCACTTCCCAAGGACTTTCCAGGTTCACATTCTGCCCTTGGATTTGGTCCCTTGTTCAAGCTGGCATCCTGGGCCCTCCTGCTGTCTCCGGATCTGGTTCCTCTCTGCCTCCAGATAATTTGCTTCCCGGGGTCCCTTTGGCCTGTACACCTGGCTTCCCCATCGTATCAGACATGGATGTGACTGAGGCCTGTTATACCCCACCCAGGACCCGGTGAGTGAGAACAGAAGCCCAGATTCAGCCTCACCGCCACTGTGGTCCCGTTGCCCAGTCTGGAAGAGGGATCCCAGGCACTCCTCCCCAGCAGAGGAGGGACCCCAACCCTGCCCGGGAGTCAGAGGAGGCTTTCCTGCACCCCAAATAAGGAGTAGGAGACAGGCAGGGTGGAAGGAGGGAAAGGGGAAGAACTTGGAGAAAGCGAAAGTGTGTTCCAGGCAAAAGGAGCAGCTTTTGCAAAGGCTGAGAGCAGAGAACAGCAGCCCCCACGGGAGCTGCACCAGGGAGAAGGAAGGGCTAGGTCACAGTGGACGGCAAACTGTGGCTCTCGAGCCACATGTGGCTCTTTGGCCCCTTGAGTGTGGCTCTTCCACAAAACAACATGGCCTGGGCGAGTCTATTTTGAAAAAGTGGTGTTAGAAAAAGTTTAAGTTTTAAAAATGTGGCTCTCCAAAGAAATTTCAATCGTTGTACTATTGATATTTGGCTCTGTTGACTAATGTCTGTTGACTAATGAGTTTGCCAACCACTGGTCTAGGAGAAAGCAGGCTCCAGGCTCCACAAAGAACATTGGATGTCGGGCCGAAGGGCCAAGACCATCCTGGGCCCCAGAGGAGCCATCGAAGGGCCGGATTCAGCAGTCTTTCCGTTCTCGTGTGTAACTGACCCATTTCACAGATGAGGAAACTGCAGCCTGGGGTTCAGAGAGGTGCCGAGGGCTGCCCCAGGCCACGCTGCCAGTCAGGAGCAGAGGAAAGACCCCACCCCAGGTCTGACGGCTCCAAAGCCCTCGCTCTTTCTGAGAGCAGCATTGCCTCGGAATAGAGCTATTTTCAAATTGCATGCATCCCTCCAATGTGCACGCCCCCTCCAGCTCTGCCTCTGTGGCCCTAGGCAGCGTGGGCGCCGTGACAGAGCCACCAGGGCACAGCTCTGCCCAGCGTGCCTCCCGGCTCCCTCTCTCCGAGGGCTCACCTGCCAGCCACGCCCAGCATCACAGGGGGTTAAGCTCACAGGGCTCTGCTGGGGCGTTTCCTCGCGTGTGAATGCTTTACAGGAGAGTGGCCCAGCAATTTCCCATCACTGTCTGTCCGACCAGAGCCTCCGTGTCTTCATCATTAGTGACTGTTTACCCCCTACCCCTCTCCTCCTACCAGGAGAGGCGACACCAGACAAAGAGCTGAGCTTCTGACATGAGCTGCTGGGGCTCAGGACACGGCTGGGCACAGAAGGGTTAGCGAAGGCAGGAAGGAACAGGACTCTTGAGGGAGCCCGTAGGGTGGAGAAGACACTGGGGGAAGGGCCCCCAGAGCCAGGTGCAGGGAGGAGACTGGCCAGGAGGGGAGGGCATACCACCCACCACCCCGGGCATCTCCACCATGGTGGGCACCTCCTCTGTGCCAGGCGCTGTGACAAGCAACAGGCATCCAGGATCACATCTGAGTTCACCTAGGCCTCCCCAAACCCTTCAAGGGATTTAACCCGATTCCCGTTTTGCAGATAAGTAAACTGAGGCTCAGTGAGGACAAGTTCGTGGGCCAAGACCCCCTGCAAGTTGGGGAAGACAGACTTTGATTTCTGACCTCAGGGAGCTTTGTGGGAGTCTACAGTCCCAGGTGGGGGCTGGAGCAGGTGGTGAGGCCAAGAAGCAGGGAGGGGCTGCCAGGCCTGAGGGTGGCAGCATGGAGCCAGGGAGGAGGCGCGGCCTGATCCGGAGGTGGGAGGCTGTTGCCAGGGAGGGGGAACAAGGCCACCTGGCACCCCGTCTGGCTCTCCCAGCACAATCTGTGGGGGCCCCACAGCTGACAAGTGTCAGGAAGAGGATGCTGCATGCTCCAGAGGAGGTCAGCCACCAAGCTTGGCGGGGGGGCAGGACCCCTCTGCCTCCCCTGAGATGTTACAGGGCCGGGCCAGTGCTGCCCTGGGAATGAGCAGGTGTGATGGACCAGCTGGAGATGCTTCCATCGCCGTCAGATCAGCCTGACGTTTAAGGCCTGCCATGGGCTGGCCCTGGTCTCTGACCCGGACTGCACCTCCCTCCACCCCAGGGGGCCCGTCTGCTCATGGCCAGCCCACACCTTCTTGTCCCCCACTGCCGGGACTTTGCTCCTGGCCATCCCCTTGCTGGGAGCATGGCGGGCAGGCAGAGCAGCAGGAGCTAGGCCCAGAGCAGGGAAGAGAAGTTCCTTAAATGTGCCAGACACTCCTACGGCTTCCTTCGCCTACCCAAGCCGCTTCCCCTGCTCAGGATGCCCACCTTCTTTACCAAGAACAGTCCTCTTTATCTTTTAAGACTGAGCTCAGGCACCTCTTCTTCCAGGAAGCCTTCCCTGATTACACCCCCCCCCCCCCCCCCACACACACACACACTTCCCAGGTTGGTTTAGATGCCCCTTGCCTGGGTCACTCCTCTCCAGAGCCTATCCTAGACTGGTGTTAGAACAGGGACAGGAGTCCTGCAATCCTGGCTTCCCGAGCTCAAGGAGAGACCTTGTCAGACAACAAGCAAGCCCACAAACACTCCGGGCCAGGCCTGCCTTAGAGCTGAGCCAAGAGCAGCCTTCCCAAGCTGCTGGCTGGCTGAGCCATGAGGCTGGTTCACCTAGGACAGTGGTTGGCAAACCTCGGCTCGCGAGCCACATGAGGCTCTTTGGCCCCTTGAGGGTGGCTCTCCCACAAAATACCACGGCCTGGGCGAGACTGTTTTGAGGAAGTGGCCTTAGAAGACGTTTAAGTTTAAAAAATTTGGCTCTCCAAAGAAATTTCAATCGTTGTCCTGTTGATATTTTGGCTCTGTTGCTGAATGAGTTTGCCGACCACGGCCCCAGGAGACCACAGGATCACTGGCCGCAGCCCCGGGCCCTGATCAGCCCACACTGGAGCTCCTCCTTACCAGGAATTCTGTGGGAGTGGCGGCGTGGCAGAGGCAGTGGCAGCAGCGTGGGGTGGCCCCAGCAGACCCACTGATGCTGGAAATAGGCTCAGGAATTCCTGCTCTAATGGAGAGACTCAGACATCTCACCACGCTGGCATGCACCCCGCTGGGATGGCCTGCTCCCCTGATGGGGTTAAGGTATTTACTGGGTGGCCCTGTCCCCTCATAGTGACTGGTACACCTGACCTCTTCCCTGCTGGCCCTCTCCTCCCCACACCTACCCCAGGTCTGCGGCCTCAGTGACCTCATCTGGGAAATGGGAACACTAAACAGGCCTTACTCCCAGGTATGGATGCAAAGCTCAGCTCAAGGCCTCGCACAGTCAGCTCGGGTGAGCTGCGTACCACAATTTTTATCAAACCTCATACGGAGAGCAATGGTACTGAGAACAGAGCCAATCCCTGCGATGGATGGGATGGGATGGGATGGGATGGGATGGGCAGCTGCATAGGAACAGGGACGAGGTCATAATCCCGACTTCCAGCTACCGAGGACCTACTGTGTGCCGGGAACTGGGCCAGCTACTTTCCGCACGTGATGCCGTTGGGTCCCCTGGTAACAGATCCGAACACTGAGGCTCAGAGAAGAGCAGGGACCTGCCGGGGGCCACCGGGGAGTTGGCAGCACTGGGATCCTGGGGCTTCCTGCTGCCTCCAATTGACGCTCAGAAAGTCCCCGGGGCCGGGCCTGGCGGGGAGCATTAACTTGGCCTTATTTAAAGTTGCAATTATCTGTCCCATTTCCCGCTGCTTACAACCCAGCTCTCAGGGGAGGCGGGGAGACCCTGACGGAGGCTGCCGGGAGCAGGGAGTTTGTGAGGCATCGTCTCCGAGCCCGAGACTGAACGAGCACGGGGGACGCGGGCTCTCTCCCAGTCCCTGGGCCTCTCGCCCTGCTGCCCTGCCCCACGGAGCTGGCCCGGCGCCGGGAGGGGCTTCCCGAGGTGGGCCGGCTCCTTGTCGGTCCCGCAGAAGCTGCGGAGGGGTCAGACCAGGGGCTGAGGTGTAAAAAGAGCATCCAAGGTAGAGATGGGACCTGGGGGTGGGTCACCCAGGGTAGACTGAGGCAGCCTGGGGGCTGGTCTGAGATCCCATGGTGAGGCAGCCTAAAACCCAGTGACCCAGACTGGGAGAAGGGTCCCAGGAAGCTCTCCGAGGTGAGAAGATGGGACTGGGGAAGGACCTGGAGATCGAGCAGAGGGTCACTGCCCGCAGGCATCAGCCTGGGGTTTTCAATTGGCTGGTGCCTCCTGAGGCCCTGAGAGGGGACAGACCCTCAGGCAGGAAGGTGTGGACTAAGGGTGTGTGTCGGCTACTCAGTGGCCAGATTGTCCGGCTCCCAGTCCCATCCTTCCACCTGGATCAGAAGACTCATCAGGCCTCCCTCCCTCCACTCTCCCCACGAAGTCCTCAACACCCTGCCCTCTTCTCCCATTCAACACGCCCGCTCCCTGAGCTCCTACTGTGCGCCCACCGCGGCCTCAGCCCCCGCCTGGAGGAAGCCAGAGGCTGGCGGGAGGAACGTGGCAGGAGCAGTTCTGGTTCTCGCCCTCAGAGTGAGGGGCACACGCTGGGCAGTGGGACAGGAGGGGCAGGAGGGCAGGAGCCTGGCGGTGGAAGCCGTGGATCTGTGGTGTACCCCGGGGAGCTGGGAGTATGGGCTCCGCCATCAGATCTACGTGTGAACCCCACTTCCTAACCCAGTGGCCTCAGGTAAGCCGCTCCCTCCCCGCCTAAGCCGTGGAATGGAAATAGCATCAGCACCGCCTGGCAGGTGGGTGTGACAATGAGGTCACGCAGGGAAAGCGCTTAGCGGGGTGCCTGGCTACGGTAACTGCTCGGTAAGATACTGGCAGCCATTACTGTAACTCAGGTTTCCACACAACTTGGCACCACGCAGGCACTCTAAACGGAAGTTATGGTGTTGCTATTACCATCCACAGGCCCCGCTGGCCTAGGAGAAGGCAGACTCTAGCTTTCTGGCCTGTCTTGGTAGTCAGAACAGTGCCCCCCACCCCCACAGAATCTTCACCCTCATCCCCAGAGCCTGTGACTACCGCCTCACATGGCGAAAAGGGAGGGACTTTGCGAATGGGATTAAATTAAGGATTCAGACACGGGGAGATTATCCAATGTAATCACAAGGCTCTTTCTGAGACAGAGGCAGGAGGGGACTTAGAGAGGAGAGGGATGGGATCGGAGTGCAATGATGTGCTCTGCCGATGGAGGAGGGGCCACAAGCCAAAGGGTGCAGGCAGCCCCTGGAGCAGTGGTTCTCCACCTTCCTAATGCCGCGACCCTTTCATACAGCTCCTCATGTGGTGGTGACCCCCAGCCATAAAATTATTTTCGTTGCTACTTCATAACTGTCATTTTGCTGCTGTTTATGAATCGTAATGTAAATATCTGTGTTTTCCGATGGTCTTAGGCTCTACAGCAGCGGTTCTCAACCTGTGGGTCGCCTAAGACCATCGGAAAACACAGATATTTACATTACGATTCATAACAGTAGCAAAATGACAGTTATGAAGTAGCAACGAAAATAATTCTATGGTTGGGGGTCACCACAACATGAGGAGCTGTATGAAAGGGTCGAGGCATTAGGAAGGTTGAGAACCGCTGCCCTAGAAGCTGGAACAGGCAAGGACATGGGTCCCATCAACACCTTGATGTAAGCCCCGTGAAACGCATCTCAGACTGCTGGCCCCCAGGACTATAAGAGAACAAATTTGTGTTGTTTTATGCCACTGAGATGTGGTAACTTGTTACGTTGGTGATAAGAAACTAATATGTCATTCTTTTTTTTTTTTTTTTTTTTTTTAAAAAAAATTTTTACAGAGAAGAGAGAGGGATAGAGTTAGAAACATCGATGAGACAGAATCATCGATCAGCTGTCTCCTGCACACACACCCCCCCCCCCCCACTGGGGATGTGCCCGCAACCAAGGTACATGCCCTTGACCGGAATCGAACCCAGAACCTTCCAGTCCGCAGGCCAACGCTCTATCCACTGAGCCAAACTGGTTTCGGCTAATATGTCATTCTTAACATACACCGGCAACTGCTCCATCCTCAAGAACCCCACTCACTCACTTCCGCCACAGAGAAACAGCCACCCCCACTGCTGACAGACGGCCGTGGTTGGGGTGAGGGGATGGGGATCACTGCTGCGGGCTGAGGGGCATTCTCCCAGCATCCCCAGTCCTGTTTGCCCTGTGTATGTCCCTGAGAGGCAGCGGCCGTGGCAGGACAGCGGCTGGTCCTGTGGAACTGGGCACTGGTGGGCCCAGCAGCAGTCTCTGCTCTGGACGGGTGGGAGAGCAGGGTGAGGTGGGCTATTCTTCGGGCTACTGTCTGTCTAGTGTTTACCATGTGCCAAGCCCTGCCCGGGACCCAATCTTCCCAAAGTCTGGGGACTATTACCAGCCCCATTTTACAGATGAAGAAACTGAGGCTCCGACAAGTAACATAACTAGCCCAAGGCCATCCAGCAGGATGTGGTCTGGCTGCCCCTTGTACAGGCCCAACTGTGGGGTCCCCCTGGCTTCCCTGGGTGCTCTGCCCACTCCCAGGCCACGCAGATCTGAGACCCATCGGGCAGTGGCCTCTGTTGTAGGCCAGGCTGTGGGGCCTGGGATACTCCCTGCACCAGCACTCTCTGGGCCTTGGGGCTACGAATTGTGTCCCCTTGTCTGCCTCTCGGAGGTCTACACGGTAGCTGAAGTCACAGGTGCAGGTGCAGGTGCAGGGGGACCCTGCAGAGGGCTGGACCCCCGGGGAGGGAGGGGTGCTTGAGAATCACAGCACCAGCACCCTTCGATGGATGCCAGCCCCTCCTCATGGGGGGCACAGCTGCCGCCTGTGCAACGCCGTCTCCAGTCTGACCTCGCTCAGGCTTCCCACAGCTCACCGTCACGTTCCCCTTTCACAGAAAAGAACCGTCATGAGAACCATGGCGATCTTGGCCATCAGTGGAGACCCTGTCTACGCCAGGCCGTAGGCGAAGAGCTTGCTGAGGTCCTCTCCTTCTACCGTCTCATACGTCCTCCAGGAGGAAACGGGCCCAGGGAGGGTCCTGGCTTGCTCGAGGCCCAGCGAGGGCAGGGTGGGCTGAGAACCCAGGCCTCCAGGTCCCAGAGGAGCCTGCTCCCCTCTGGGTCACGGGGCATCGCTGGTGTGACGCCCGTGGGAGGTGGGACCTCTAGCTAAAGGCCCCGAGGACCCAGGGGCAGGTGGGTCTAGAGTCGAATGGGGTGGCATAGGGCCCTAAATCCATCTTCTTGTGCCTCTTGTGGACCCAATTTCCTGGACACCAGCACCTGAGAGCTGGGGAGCCAGAATGAGGGCTCCCCGATGCCCCCAACTGGTGTTATCGGGGACCCTGCCTGCACCCCGGCCCCTCCCAGGAGGCGTTTGCCTCAGATGACTTCCCGGTGGTGCTGGTGCCAGGCGGGGAGGAGGGAGGAGGAGGCAGGCTGGGCGTCTCTGTCACAGCAGGCTACAGAGCCCTGCGCGGAATCCCAATTGAGCTATTTTTAATGCGCTTCAATTTTCATTTTCTTTTATTGGAAAACACAGATGGTGACTCGCTGCCCCTCACACACTCCGAGCGAGGCGCCGGCGGGGAGAGCGCTGTGCGGCGAACACGTGCCCGCCCCTCCCTCCCCCACGCCCGGGAGCCGTAGCCAGGCGCCCAGGCTTGCGGCTGCTCTGGGCCTCAGTTTACCCAGCTGTGAAATGGAGTTGGCTGAGGTGGCCCCCAGTGCCCCCCACCGCTCCACAGTCCATGAGGGTCTGGGCTAGAGCAGGGGAGGAGGCTCCCCCCTGCTGTGGCCAGCAAAGGGCATCCGTGTGCTGGGCACCACTGCCAGGCAAAGAGGTACGGGGAGGGGAAGGAACGATTGTTGACCAGGGGGAATTATCTCCGTGACACCTCCAGCCGTGCTCGGCGGCTTCCCCATTTTACAAAAGAGGAAACTGAGGCTCAGGAGATCAAGTTCCCTGCCTA